CTCTTTCTCCATATACAAAAGCGTGTGGCTTTGTCGATACTATTTTTTCAATGTTTTAAAATCATAAATTGCATTAAAAAAAATAAGGGGGGAAAGAGTATATTTTATCAGTCAAAAGAAGTTATGGGGAATTGTGAAGAAAACCATTGGAATCAGTCTAGAGAATTTTAGAGGGGATGCTTTAACAAAAGATGTTTAGTTCATTGTCTTCAAACTTTTGTCACTTTAAATCAAAAGAGAAGCTCAAAGAATCATTTCTGTGGACCATATCAAGCCTAGCTATATGCTAAGTTTGCTTTTCCCTGTGTGAAACAAACATGTTTGTCACAACAAATTATTTGAGATCTTCTCGACTAGTAAAAGGCATTAGCAACGAAAATTTCTATGGCTGATTGCAAGATTTTCACTAGACATCTACCTATAAAGGGAGAAACCCCACTTGCAAAATAGAGATTGACTAAAGATGGGACCAGAAACAAAAATCAGCAAAGATTCTACACTCGAGAATGTCTTTTGTGTGGGCATAAAATGAATTCTTGAAATTAAGTCATGAATAAGAATGTACCTGACCGAAACTTGGCAGGTCTCCAGAGCCAAAGGAATAAAAATTATTTGAACTGTTTACTTCATCTAATGCAATCTGAGCTTGGGAATTATCTTTTGAGCATGTAGCTGCAATTGGTGTTCCTTGAGTGAGATCTGAAGAGGATGCCGAAGATGGTAATTTGGAACAATAATCAGGATTTTTTAGGGCATTTTCGTCATTGGCTTCTCTCTCTCGTGAAGTTTCAGTGCCGCTGGTGTCATCCCACATAAATTGTTCGTCCGTCTCCTTCATACCCTTGCGTTGTTCCTCGAATTTTGTTTTAGGTATATATATGTTTTTCTTGAAAACCCGGCATAATGCATAAGAATCCTAAAGGATGAAAGGTTAAAACTTAAATTCCACCTCGAATAAAAATAAAACAAATAAACGAAATATATGAGTTTAGTTAATCCTCTTAACAAGATTCACATTTTAAAATGAACTACAATTCTCAATAATTAAATTAAGAAATAGGAAAACTAAATGTTAAATGTATTTCCTATAATAGATTGACATTCAGGCACGTACTACAAAGAGTGAGAGTTAATTACTTCACTAATGCTTATTTTCCAGATTATTTTTAAGACATATTGACTAATTTAATCTACAGTCAAAACCCTAGGTCCAAGAAAACAGGATTTTTCAATTGGTTGGATGTCATTATCATTATTAGCCACTGATTTCTACCATTGCGAAAATCGCTGGTCTTTAATGCATGTATTATAGACGTAAATTAGTGACATTATCGGCAGAATATTGGCTATGCATGGAGCCATAACTCTCATAAGCAAATATTTAGCCTCTTTTTGGTTAATTTATAAATGATTTACAAAGAGACATAGCCGGTAGGTCCATTAAAATATGTGAATAATAGTGAATAGTAGTTATGAAGTTTATGTTTGAAATCAATGATTGATTTTAACTGAATTTATTTCCAAACGCCAGCTATTGTAAGCAATAATCTCAAGTAAATTCCATGCACAATGCCACCGACATTGTTATTGTTATTATTATTATTATTATTATTATTATTATTATTATTATTATTAATCTTTATCTTTGCGAACTACAAGATCACTCGAAGACGCCATAACTTGATGCATTTAATTGTGCATATTAATTCGCTTATGATTGGAGTAAGACTTTGTAGCAGAAACTGGAAAGGGATTGTACCTTTAAACTTGATGCAGTGCCACAGGTGGACTCACTGAGTCTATACTCGTGCATTACCCAGTCGGTTCTGATGCCATGAGGTGCTCTCCCTCTGTAATAAACCAGTGTCTTCTTCATGCCAACAGCCCGTTTCCGTGACTGCACTGTCCGGTCTTTTCCAGTTGCTTTCCAGTATCCTGCCCGTGTGGCCCGATTCGTCCTCGATCCGTTCGGGTATTTCCGATCCCGGGGGCTGTAAAAGTACCATTCCATGTCTTTACTGGGCAAGAAAGATTTATCTGTCGAAAGAAAATTCCACTTTTTATTGTAAAAGAATTAGAAAAATCATATGGAACGAAGGTGCAGTAGTATATACACTGTATTGCTTACCAGGTAAATCCCAAGGTTCACATTTGTAGAGATCAACTTCTGGGATGATTTCAAGCTCGATATTTCCACCATTGATTTTCTTATCCAGATAGTAAGCCACAAGCTCCTCATCCGTTGGATGAAACCTGAATCCTGGAGGTAGACTCGTTGGTGCCATACAGTAAATACCCTGTAGAAAGAAAGGGAGAAAAGAGGGGAAGGGGGAGAGAGAGACTGATTGTGCCAAAAATGGAAGAAGAGACTGTTAACTGGGTTGTACGACAATCGAGTCTATTAATAGCCCACTGTTCTTGATCAAAGCCACAAAAGTAGCCCTAATCTTTCTATATTTTTACATGGGCAGCCATTCACTTGCCTGTGCTTTTGTGATGAATAAGAAACAGTGGAAAGGGCAAGATCGATAATATGGAAAATAGTAAGATAATACAATGGACACTGGGCTGTGGGGCTTTAATAGATTCTGTGTCAGCATTGTGTGTGAACATTGAGAGGAAGAAGGAGAAGCTTCTCTGCTTTTGTCTGCTCACAAACTAACAAAAATTAGAGGGGCCCGCAAAAAGGCTGCATGGGCCACCCACCGACCCTTCTCAACAACACGCAATACCATGAAGAACAAGGCCGCCTTTTATTTTATTTATTTATACAGATTATAAAATCATTGTATTGGTATAAAATATTGTGTGTATATGTACGTATAAGCTGATTATCATGCAGACAGGTAAATGTGTTCTTAACAACAAAAGATGATTTGGAATCTGTCACATGGGTCCAATCTTAAAGCAAAAACACTTGATTATCCATCAAGCGAGTTTACATATTGATTTTTCACACACAATGTCACTTTTTTATGCCAAAAAAAAGGAACTATTAAGTAGATATTATGTATTGCTTGCTTAATTTATCTATTTTTTGTTAATATATTTTAGCTTCTATTATAATTAAAAAGGGATATTCTTTAAAATTTATATAACGCTGGCTTTTCTTGCAATCTTGTCCATCATTTCTTATTATTTTTCGAAATCAACGATATGTTTTACCTTGTGTTTTTGTTCTTCTTGACTGAAATTCTTAACTAAAGTGGCTAAATCCAACTATTTCATCCTCTCATTCTTGAAATTTTATTTGATTAATGAATACATACAATAGCCATAAGGATTGTAGAGCTATTTTTAATGCAATTCTTTTAATTAAATATACTTCAATTATTATCTACGCTATTAGAAGTAAGATGTAACAAGGTGCCCCTAATTGGAAAAGAACCGCAATTATTTTAAAATATTACATCAATTTTATTATTGAAGAACCCAAAAAATAGAACGTCGAGATGCCTAATTTTATAATTAATAAATAATACATGACAGAATTTATTGCACGATTGGGTTGCATTTCTAAATAAACCAGACTAATAATGTGGTTGTGTGATTAGCCATAGATATATTTTATCCATACGATTTCAAATTGTAAATCTATGATGGATGAAATAATAATAATAATAATAATAATAATAATAATAATAATAATAATAATAATAATAATAATAATAATAATAATAATAATAATAATAATAATAATTCTAGAATAAACAGGTCGAATACCCATATCATAAATTGAGCATGAATACATCATTCATGTCCTACTCGGGTAATGAAATAAGAAATTTATACAAGTAAAACAAGAAGAAAAAACATGTTTATATTAAGAAACAAATTTTTAAATATAAAGATCTTAAAAATTTGAACTTTTTATGCTTCAATAAGTGTCATGGTTTTACAAATTATAAAACAATAATTGTGTTTTCATAATTGCAATGGGCTCCATTATGCGATTCCTGCAACTTTATCATATCCCAAAGAAGAAAAAACCCTTTCATCGTTCAACAGTTGAAGGGTCGAACAAAACTACCTGTCACCTCGTCGTGTTTTGCTTTATATTTTTAATATGATTCTTTTTCTTTTTAATTTATTTATTTTCGACGATGACTTTACTTTACTGGTTTTGTTAAATTTTTTGGTTGTGTTCAGTGCTCTTTAATCTTTAGTATACTTTCCTTAAAATATCATTTTCTAGTGGGTAAAGATGATACTATTATATCCACTTTAATCATTACAAACCCTATCTTTGACTGTTGTCTCTCTCTCCAGACGACTCTTGGTCTGAAGCAAAAAAGAAACAATGGACTCAGTTTTTTTTTTTGCCTTTTCAAGTAAATTTTCTTTATCTGTCACATCCATGTTAGAATTCACTATGTATACTGTTGTATAAAATTATACTTGTTACCAAGTCATGCTATATTATCAGTTAATTTAGATGCACAAATAATTTTTAGACGCGTGTGAAAGATTTAAAAAATGTACATTCAACCGAAAAATTTATGGTTGTCTCTCACGACGATACCTATTACTTATTATTCATTAAATCTCCAAATTACCAATTATATAAGAAAATAGAGAAGAAGTTATTAGCTATATATTGCAGTGAAGTTTAAAAAACAGAATCCATATGTTTTCTGTCAGTGAAAAAGATCAAAAAGAAGAAAAGGAATCCATCTCCCTACTTAAAATTATCGTGTGTGAGAGAGAGTCTGTATCTAAAGCCATGCACCCTTTCACACGATCTTAGGTGAACAAAGCAAAGTGGATGCAGGGGGGTCCAATAGCGCTTTCTTAATTTCAGCACCATTTTGGTATCATGAGCTTGTTTCGATTTAATTTCTGCGGACGAAATAAAAGAATAGCTGTATTAAGACTGTAGAGCAGATATTTATTTTAATTCAACGTATTATTTACATCGAAATTCATTGCCGGTGAACCGCAGTCCAGATTCTGGTGTTTCTATCTTCTTTATTCTTGAGTTTCTGCCAAACAATTTTGATAAGTGTAAATCAACATTTTATGCAACTTCAAATTATTTTAGTTGAGTTCTGCTCGTTTTCTGTTAGATTAGTTACAATCTCGATCTAGATGAATTTTAACGAGAAAAGAAGAAAATTGATAGAGCAGAGGAATGATAATATTTACACGAGAATGTAAATTTGGGAAAATGATGAAATGTAAAACACTGAATTAGGAAATGAACAGAATTGATTGAAGAGAAATTCTCATTCTATATTCATCAACTTACTGAAAAATTGAATTATACACAGGAGGCACCTTAAGTTATATACACATAGAGGAGATAAAAGGAATATTCCAACCTAACCAACTCTATACATGCAGCAAAAGAAAAAATTACACATCACATTATTCTGTTATAATTGCAGTAGATAGCTAGTCTTGTGTATTAGAAATTGTCTTTTGCATATCAGGACTTAGATGGGGCAGCTGCTGGTGAAAATGGGCTACATGACAGATTTGTTACTGATGCTGTGTATTGTTGGGCTTGATGGATTTCTTATTCTGCAAGAGTCCTCCGCAAGATGGAGAATAGATGTTAACTATTCCCATCTTGGACATATGAGCAAAGAGAAGAGAGGAAGGTAAAGCTTTGGTAAGCAAGTCTGCAAGTTGAAATTGTGTTCTAACATGTTTAGTGATGATAGAGCCTTCTTGAATTTTATCTCGTACAAGATGACAGTCCAATTCAATGTGTTTTGTGCGTTCATGAAACACCGGGTTGGCTGCAATATGTAAGGCAGCTTGGTTGTCGCAATGTTACACAACTGGTTGAGTATAAGGAATCTGGAGATCAAGAAGAAGATATTTTAACCAAGTGATCTCACAACAAGTGCTAGCCATGGCTCTGTACTCGGCTTCTACAGATGATCGAGATGGTCTGTTTCTTTGAGCGCCATGAGATTGAGGACTGTCCTAGGAGAATGCAATAACCTGTCACTGATCTTCTAGAGTCAGGACATGAGGCCCAACTAGAATCACAGAAGGCT